TTTGTCACACCAGACTCAACTCCAGACCTTCTGGTAGGTGATCCAGAGGTCAAAACGACACAAATACTACGTACAAAGGTAGTAGAGGACAGGAACTTCTTGGAGAGACTCAAAAGGTTCTCAAAATGGCATACAGCAGTAAATGTAGTTGCTAGGATTCAGCAACTAGCAAAAAAAAAAAAAAGCCAGAATACAACTAGGAAATAGAAAACTATCGAAAGAGGGTGAAAGGCTCAATAAACCATCCACTCTTGAACGCCCTATACATAAATTAGTGGTCCTAATAGAGAGTAATTAGAATGTTCCAGTGGAACTTCTGTAAATGTATATGGGATGGTTAAAGTGTTAGACTTGACTTGCAAGATTGTCACAAATGTTTGGTTCTGAAAATTTCTAGATTTATTCAAATTATTAACAGTTCATAAATCTTAGTAATTTGGTGGGAGTGTAACTGTCCCTGAGACAGTTAAAATAAAGTTGTTTATTTCAAATGTTTCTGTGATAGAGAGATGCTTAATTTAATTACTAGATAAGATGATAAAAGTGTAACATTGATTTAAAAACATGTCTAAAATATGTGATTAAAAAATATGGGTTTGTTAAATATGTAACGTGCTGTAAAGTTTGTATGAGGTAGAGTTTGTAATGGTCACATGATCAGAGTTTGTTTGACAGCGCTACCATAGCAACCATAGCATGGATACATAGCTACAGATGCGTCTACAGCCTCGACGTTAATGTCATTCTGCATGTGGTCCAAGAGGCGCACACGGTATGGTTTCATGTATAATGTTTGTATAATGTTGCATATGTGTTCTACACTGTTAATGAGAGGACATTTTGTGATTCATTATTGCGCATTTTCTTTCTGTTCTGCTTGCACGAGACTGTTTATGGACAATGGTATGAGAGACTGATAAGTTCAAACCGTTATTGTGTAAACTTTGTGTTTCTTCAGTTTTCACGGTGTCTGAAGATAATAAGAGAGAGAGAGAGAGCCAAATAAACATCCGAAGACATCAGTATGATGCGTGGCCATCCTTTGTTGGACCCCTGTAGTTACAGATGGTGTCGTCATGACTAGGAGACTTACTCATTTCTCACATAAAATGGTAAATAGCCTGTATTTTTATAGCGCCTTCTAGAGTTCTACAACCCCCCAACGTGCTTTACACCGCATCAGTCATTCACCTATGCATGTACATTCACACACAAAAAGAAAAGGGACAGTTGAATTTATCAATATGATCTTCTGAGCATTTGCAGTTTCATGATTAATCAAAGTAGAAGTTCATTTGTCCACCTTTCATAAAACCTGGTGGATTGCCTACTCATCACTCCGTGTACAAGAACAAAATGTTGAGTTGCTTATGTTGGTGTCTGTAACCAAACACTTAATTTAACATATCCTTTTTTGCAATCGATGCTGGAACTTACTGAAAAGATCTGAGCCTCTTCTTAGCCTTGCTACAAAATAGAAAAATAAAAGTTCCCCCGTTATTTTCCTTTCAGCACTTGAAACAGAACAGCATGATTGAATCTAAGCCAAAAAGCCTATGTGCTAATGTTCTGATCAGAAAGCTACTTTATAATTTGCTGTGGGATTAGGAGATTTGTAAGAAGGGGGATACACAGAAATTTTCACTGAATGTAGACTACTTGGTGTTTGAACAAGCAGCACTGAAGCAGATCTAATATCTTGCTGTAATATTAAATTCAGTAAGTAATGCCTGCTTGGTAGCTAAACCTATTAAATTATTGACTTACAAATACCTTGGTGAGAAATTTCCAGTCCTGATGACACATCTATCATCAAATTAATCAAATGGAACTATGCCAGCTGCACTTCCTACACAAAATCTATTGGAGGGTTTGTTTGGTGACTAAATTCAAACTGATAAGCAGGTGTGAAGTTTTTGAGAAAGTACAGACACATTTATGTTATTGTCCAGACAGATGGTGGCTCCACCCACCTTCTAGACACAAGTCAAACGCTCCCTAGTGGGCAGTAAAACGTGAAGCATGTGATGTGTTTTTAAATCAGCACATAGAAACGATATGTACGGATACGGTGTCTGCTGTTATCGCTCCAAAGAAAACACAAAATATATGAGACAAGGAAGGTAAAAAAAAAACTTGTATAAACAAATTTAATTTCACCTTTCAGTCTGTTTTGTGTTCAACCAGAGCATTAATATTCCCAGGCATTTTGGGTGAGGGTGGATGTTTAGCAGCTTCACCCTGTCCTCCTCTTATCTCTCTCTGCACACTGTTTACTCTTTATTTATCAGTCCCTCCACTCCACATCTACCAACACCTCCCCTCTCTCTCCTTTTACCTGCCTTCCTTCTATCTTACCATCTTACTTTGCTGTCTCCTTCCCTCCCAGCTTCCTTTTCAGCCTCATTCACACTCCATCATCCCCACCCCACCCGACCCCACCCCCATTCCCACATCTCACATTCTTTTTCCATCTTTCTCATCGCACGTCTCCACCCTCCCACTCCTCCTCTCAGTAGTCACTGCAGCGTGTCTAATGGTTCTGCTCCTCCTCAGCAGATCCACCACGTGGAGGAAAGATGAGCAGCAGCCCCTGAAAAAAACTCCCCAACAACTGGCTTTATCAAAACTGACAACCAGCTAGACCCGGAGTTATCACCGACACAAGTCATTAAAAGGACACATGTCTGTATGTGTGCAATAAAACTAGTATCAATATTTAAAAGGACATGCATACATACATACATATATATATATATATATATATATATATATATATATATATATATATATATATATATATATATATATATATATATATATATATATATATGGAACTACACACATAATTGGATTTATGGATGCTGACAGTGACCTGCAGAACAATGTGAATGCATGCCTCTACTGAAAAGAGGGCAGATACTGCAGAATGTAGCAATCTAATCTACTGTGGGTCGAGATGGCTCCTGCAGGCATGAAAGATGTAGATATCTGGTGTAAACAAACAAATAACAAAAGGAAGATGGGAAAGAAGTGAAGAAAAAAAAGGGTAGAGCATAAGGCACAGCTAGAAGAGATGGAAGATTTGCTACAAAATAGTGAGAACAGGAAGAGTACATGTTGAGAGGAGACAATGGGAAAAGTAAAACCAAATGAAGGGTTAATAATTAAGAAAACTGCCAGATGACTATTTACGGTATGTACTTATTACTACTGAGTATAAATCTAAAGTCATCCTTTACTGATCAAGGAAAAAACTATCCAAGCAATAAATAATTAAAAACACGAGATAATTAAACCATCTGTGTCAGTGATGGTAAACAATAGCTAGACAAGACTGAACAATATGATTTAAGTTGACTGCTGTTTTGAACAGAAGAAATTTCAACACTTTCCTTGTGTTCTTTTTCTCGTATATATCATGTTTTCTCCCAGAACTTTAATACTTTAACCTTTCACTTTGATCAGTGATTGTACTGCTTAGGACTTCATCAGGGTTTTGCTATTTGCCCCTATCTGTTTCTGCATTAGTTACTGATGTCATTTGGGGTTTGGTGCAAACAGGAGTAGCAAATATTACTCGTAACATAATTTTGATCCACATTTGTGCCTTATATTTTACAGTACCCCTACAACTTATCTATGGTTGTTAATTAATTAGATCTGCTGTTGTTGATCCTCTCCTCCATCTGCCATCATTATCAGTGCTGATTTTTAAAAACACACTATTAGGTGCTGGATTTTAGCTTATGGGGGGCAGTGTGCTTCATTTAGAAAACCCTGGAAAATCAGAGCTTATTTGTAACAAGAGTACAGCAAAAATATACTGCATCACAGGGATCATTTAATCGCATTACTTTTTATTGATTTTATTGTTGCGTAATTGCTTGCAGACATAATTAAGATTGAATCACTAATTTTATTGTTAAGAAAACCTTAAAGAAGACTGTAATTCATTTAATAAAATTTGACACATAACACATGAACAAAGATTTTAGACAAGAGCTTTGTGGACCAGGCAGGCAGGTTGGGCAACTTATTATTTATTTATTTTTTACTATACTTATTTCTTTTATAATATATAATATTCTGGACATAGAACCACCCATTTCTCTCATTTGACTAAATGAAGCAAAATGGGTGGTTTCCATCACCGCCGCATAGCCATGTCAGAATTTTTAAGCTATTGCCCATGCACGTTCTCAGGAGTAACGAACAACAACCCTACACATCTTCTTAGTCCCTACACCCCCAGCAGGTCCCTGAGGTCCAGTGATCAAAGCCTACTGGTTGTGCAGCACCAGGCTAAAGACCAAAGGTGACAGATCATTTGCTGCTGTGGCCCCCAGACTCTGGAACTCTCTTCCCCTGAGTCTGAGATCAGTGGACTCAGTGGTCTCCTTGAAAAAGCAGCTGAAGACTCACGTGTTCAAGCTGGCTTTTGTATGACTTTCTTCAACACTCTCTCTTTATTCTGCTCTCCCCACTTATTCCACCTTCCTCAGGATCCACTGATTTCCCTCTTTCCTATTCACTCTTTCTCTTTCTTAACATTTTTTAATTACAATTGTCTTTTTTTGCACATTTTAAATATATTTTTAACCATTTTCTAAATTATTTTTTATATTTTTACATTTTTTGTTTTTGTGAAGTGCCTCGTGATTTTTATCTTGAGAGGCGCAGGCGCTATAGAAATGATATCTTCTTCTTCTTCTTCTTCTTCTTCTTCTTCTTCTTCTTCTTCTTCTTCCCATGCAGGATTTAAAACAACACAACCATCCATATCATGAAAACAATTTCAAACTTCTGTATTATCATTTCCTGATAAATAAATAAATAATCTATTGGAGTCAAGACTTGTTACCCACTCAAAACATTACCAAATTCTGAAATCAACAAAAGATGCCCTAAAATCACATACAAATAAAATTCCAAAGCAAGTAAGAATATGAAACCATTTTTAAACCACAGCAGTTGGACTTATTCATGAGCTCACACATAACAGAAATTAGATGCTTTTCAACAAGCTTTGCGTTAAAGAATTATGCAATAAAATCCCATTTTAAAGAACATCTCCGCTTTCCCCGCTAATACCGGGACCGTGTCAAGAGATGGCGGTAGTGAACACTGGAGCCTTTCTGAGTAGCAAGAAAGGAAAAAAGAACAACACAAACAACTACAAGAAAACCACAAAACCAAGATGGCGGTGCAAGAAACAGCGTCCCAACTGTCCATGGCTCTAAAAGTCCAAGAATATCCCACCCTGAAGGTAAACAACTCAAAAACGGGTCGTGATTGACAGTCTAATGTTTAAAATGTTAGCTGGGTGTACGATGGTGTGGTTAGAAACGTTAATTAGTAGCTCATGAGATAGAGACAACGGGAATGTAACAGGGAGGCTAACGTTAGCCGAGCTAGTCTGACCAAGTTCAACACTAACTGGATAATTATAGAAAATATAAAGAGTTTGTGAGGTCTTAGTAGTTGGTGACTGGTTAGTTGTTTGTTCTACCGATGTTTTATTAATGTTTTTAGAGTATGGGCGTCTAACGCTTAACGGCTTCATTTTAAGCTTAATGTGTAAAAATGATCTGAGTCAGCTGGTCAGCTCTAAGTGGAAACCTGTTCGACTCTGATGTAGTGTGAGCCGAGCTGACTGCCGCATCCCCGTGGCTAGTTGAAACAAAAAGATAGTTTAACGTTGAGTGGATAACAACCCGAGTCTGAAACAACATGGTTGCTCGTCCTTAACCAAAAAGCCAGACTTGTCGTCAAAGAGATGACATGCAGACGTGATTGGCTTGCTAACATTAGCTCGGCTTTGCTGTCGCTAAACTCGTGTTGGCCATCTTTTGTCTCCACATAACTCGGAACAGCCTACCCTATAACGTCGAGCTGGGAAGTTGTAGGCGGCTGGGGAAGCGTGCACCGCTGGGCGAGAGTCGTTGTCCCCGACGCTGTTATGCAGTGGAAGCCGTGCCGTGAGTTAGCGTAGTGTCATCAGATTCCTGCCGCCTCTGTGCACTTCAAAATGGCCAGTGAGAGAAATCACAGCCGGCTGCCGCACACACGCACTCTTCCTCCATTCCACTCGGCGTTACTGCGACAGCTCTGCTAAAAGGACGAGCTCGAACTAGTCCGGGCTGTTTCCTGCGTGCATCTGCCGAGACAGTCGTGAGTATTAATGTGCGGCTGTGATTAGTGTCGTACCTGACGGGTATGGTATTCGCTGGTGAATATACAGAGGGGTTTCGTGCATCTGGCCGTGTGTTGAATTCCGTGGCTATAGCATGGGGATGTGTCTGCAGCAGGAGGATGATGGGCACCATTTTAAGACATGACTGATGGTTATATTTGGTATCAAATAGGAGTCATCCATAGGAGAGTAGTGCTGATTACGTCCCATGCTAATAAAATGCCTTTACGGACACCCAGATCATGTGTAATCTGCATTACTCACAGAAGGCAGCATGTCCTGGCTTTTGTGTCAGTTTACGTGTTAGATCAGTGCATGTAAAGGAAAAGGAACTGCATGTACGAACAATAAAATACAATTCATACATGAAAATGATGAGCATGTATGTCATCTATTTTTTAGTTCAGTGTAGGTCCCCTTCAGCCTGGCATTGTAATAGTGCAGATTATACTAGGCTTGCTAAGAATGACCTACACTGGGCTATTAGTGGTAAGAATTATGATTAACATTAGCAAAACCTGTATGTTTGTAGTGGACTCCTTGATGCGGCTTGAAATAATTTCTCTTACAAATCAAACCCATACAATATTTTCCTGGTGCAGGCCTAATGATCCACTGCATTCATGGCTTCATTTTCATTTACCTTAAGGTCATTCAGCAAATGGTTACGTGCAAGTGGTAGATCACCTAAATATCAAAAAGCAGTCCACTTTTTGTAAAATGTCACATTTAAAATCATTTATCTTCATGTTAATTTGCTGGATGCTGTTTCCTGGCACATCTTATTAACAGAAGGCTGCAGTCATTTGTACAAAAAGGCTGAGGCATGGAAATCTGCATTATGTAATATGAGCATAATTAAATTAAACATATTACTGTCCTTTTTAGATCATAATTTGTGAAGTAAATGTAGACCTTAATCCCAATGTATTACACATTTTAATGAAGTTGTTAATTGACTTTTTTTGGGGGGGGGGGGGGGGCATGTTTGTGCCCTTCCTGCATTACATACTTCAGATGAAATCTGCATCGACTTTTTTCAGCTCTTTATAAATTAAATCGTAAAGTGCAATGTCCCTAAAGATACAGTCATCAAGCATTTATTTGACAAATGGCAAATGTAATCAGAATTTATTTAGTTTAGTTTTATTTTAAATTAGAAATATGTAGCCATTCACATTTGTGTCAGATAGCTTCTAATCTAAATCTTGCAGCCAGCTGGTTTCATAGACAGCCTGTCACTGCTACCCAACATTCTTGTTGTTCAGTGTCTGCTTACCTTGTCGTGCATCACCCATTTTGGTTCTGTCTGGGGTGTAGCAGCAGCAGCAGCAGCTTGAACAGCTGATTACCTTGGTTCTTACATAAATCACACAGAGACAGGAAGAAGGTAGTAAAGCAGGCCTGATGATGCACTGATCCAAAATGGAAAAGACCACAATAATCTAACCGTTTTGTATAGATGGTTTTATTCTGTGGAAATGGAAATGTCCTCTACATCCAGTAAATCCTGTCAAAGTAGTTCCTAATTCTGGCTTTCATGTAAGTCTTCTAAACAGCTCCACATGGTTTGGAGTCTTACCCAGCATAAATGTTGAAACACAAAGGCCAAACAAAAGAAAAAAAAGCCAAATCCCAACACATAACACAGCTGCAGGACAAGAAGTGCTGGATAAACTGACAAAGACAATTCACTTCCTCCAGTAGCCAAACATTCCTGTAGAGATGTGTTCCTGCCAGTGAAGATACTTGAGAATATTCCCAAGACTACATATGCTATGAAGCACAGTTGCATATTTAAGACATATGGCCCCTCTCTGCTTCTCGGTTCGGAGTCGGATCCCTAAATCCCAACAAGGTTTATTCATCCATGTTGGAACATTCACATAATTTCTCTCTTCAGTCTTAGTGATCTGTGAAATTTACTTGCTTTTACTTGAGAGAAAAAGCTTCTCAGTGGATCATAGCCAGCCTCATGTTCCACCACAAAGGTTGTATGAAATTGATTCAGTAATGTCTAAACTAATTCTTCATGTAGAACAAGAGAAGAAGCTGTGGCTTTATTTCTGGAAACCGTCTGTGCTTACAAACATAAATAACTAAATACCGGCCTTAGTCAGGGTGCGGTAGCACGCTTGCAGTTAGTTCAAAACTCAGCCGCTAGGTTCTTGACAGGCACTAGGCGCAGGGAACATATCACCCCCGTGTTGGCATCCCTTCATTGGCTGCCTGTACAATACAGGGCAAAATTCATGGTCTTGGTGCTGGCATACAGGGCCTTACACGGAACTGCTCCAGCATATCTTGGCAACCTTTTGCATAGGCATGCCCCCTTGTGGGCTCTTCGCTCAGCCGGCAGGGAGCTGTTGTTCGTTCCACGCACTAAGTGCAGGTCATGGGAGGACAGTGCATTCTCTGTGTTGGCACCTGCACTTTGGAACCAGTTGCCTTTGGTTGTGCGTCAGTCACCCTCATTTGGGGTTTTCAAGACTCACCTTAAGACCCATTTTTATGTCCAGGCTTTTCAGGATTAGCTAATTTTACCCGGTTTTGATGCCCTGGCCTCTTAATCTTTTTCTGGATTTTATTTTTTGCTTTTACTCTCCTCTTTTAATTGATTTTATGCTGGTTTTACGATTGTTATATTTTATTCTGATGGTTTTATGTTTTTATTGTGTCGTGTTCAGCACCTTGGGCGTCAGCATTGGTCGCAGAAGGGGCTTTATAAATAAATGAAAAATGAAAATGTGATTAGATGTGACCATAAATGCAGCATTGTCTGTTGTGGCTGATGCATTATATAGATGTGTCACACAAGTGTGTACAATCATGCTTAAACATTATTTAAAACTAAAGCTCTATAAACAAGGCTGCAGTGGTTAACATGGGCTGAACTTGTTTTCCCAGGTCCCGTATGAGACGCTGAACAAACGTTTCAGAGCAGCTCAGAAAAACATAGACCGGGAGACGAGTCACGTCACCATGGTGGTGGCAGAGCTGGAGAAGACGCTGAGCAGCTTTCCAGTGGTCGACTCGGTGGTGTCGCTGCTGGATGGAGTGGTGGAGAAGCTCAGCGCTCTGAAGAGGAAGGTGGGATAAACAAATGCATCAAACATGCAGCCGTGCTTAAGCTTAGGTTTAATCCTACTAACTGTTAAAGAACCGTTAGTAGAATCTTTGATTATTCACCTTTATTAGTCATCCGTTTAAAGCTGGTACCTTACCCGGCTGCGACTTAATGGAGACACAAAATTGCAAGAAAATATGCAGGTTTTTAGCTCTAGTGGTGCTGAATCATTACGCATTGTCTTTGTGAGAAGTTTCATGTTAGGCTGAAGCCATGTACAGGCAGGTGTCTGGTGAGTTAACCATGTTAGCTTAAACTCTCAATATAGTACAGATTACTATCGTGTACCAGACAATTAAAATAGTATCAGTCAGTTAACATAATATTAATACTACTGAGCGTCAGTCAGCGGTCTCATACTCGTTAATATCTGTTCACCAAACGTAGTTTAGTGCTTAAGAGAGAGGGAGACGCCTGTGATCCGGTTCTGGAGCTCATGCAGGCTTCTGTTTAGCTGAACGCGACCCAGACACCAGCGAGCCAGTCGAGTTGGTATTTTTAAAAGCTGTGCATCCTGTCCTGGTGGTCCAGGCGACGGCTCTGATCCGGTTCCAACCCATAAACCAGCTCGACTGGCCCACTGAGCCACACATCTCTTCTGGTGGTCGGTTCTGACCTGGTTCTGACGGTGATCTGAGCTCCAGAAACCCGCGTTTAATTTTTTAAACCTCGCCACG